ATTATATAGAAGTATATGAGACGGTCTATGACTTGCTACGTGTGCGCGTGCGTGTGTGTGCGCGCGCGCGCGCTTGCGTGTGATATTCGCTCACCGCTCCCATGGAAAAATTTAGTTCTCACTTACTGATACAGATGGCAGCTGTATGTTCGCATCTGTGCCATTTGAAGAATAAAGATGTAAGTTTTATAGGACACGTGAGGGAAGCAGATAAAAATGCGAAAGGAATAAGGAAAGAGAGTGAAAGATTAAGGAACGCAAGAAACGATTTCCCCTTGAATTCAGAAGGGCCTCTTCCAGTGGTCAAAGCAAATTAATATTTGTATGCGAAATAATTCAAGAGCTTAAATTCGAAAAATATTGTTGTTGATGATGATGATGATGATGATGGCTATGATGCATACATTATTTAACAACGCTGTTTCAACCTCAGTATTTAAATAATGTCGAAGAAGAGAGATAGATAGCCTCGAGTGGTGAATAGGCAAGGTTCTGGAAGGATATGACCGTGACATAGACCCATTATTATACGAAGTTCAAAATGAGTATGTAAAAGCAAGAACAATCTCTGAGAAAACAGATGCTGAACCGGACGAGATTCGAAATGGGTATCTCGTAAATACAAATTCGGATCTTTGCAGCTACACTTACCAGCTCGGTGATAAAAAAGAAGAGGAAGAGGGATGAAGAGAAAAAGAAGAGGATCTGCCCTCTTGCCCGAACAATTCACTCCCCTGTCTCTGCGAATGTAGAAGTTATTGCGTTACTGCGAATTGCACTGATGGCTGGGATATTTCTCTTGCTAATTTTCTTCGTGACATCCGTTGCCACAGTGTTGAGTAAGTGTATGTATGGGTATGCCCTTCTGATCATGGCAGGTTTTAATTCAAGGATAGACGATGAGACCTAAACTGCGGAATTGAAGCACATGGTGAGTGAACACGAGGTCAGCCAAATTTTATGAAGGAGGCTGGACGCAAGAAATGTTAAAAGACGGTTGTTAAAGTGTTCGGAGGTAACGGAAGATATAATTATTTTTGTGAAACAAGGAAAATATTTCATTCGACGCTTATTCCTATTCGGTAAACATCTGCTTTCCAAATGTTTTCTTCGCAGTTGTTTTATCTCGTTAGTTCTGGTATTCATTTATTACAGACTAGCGAGAAAACTTCTTCTTTGTCCGTTTCTTTAAGTAAATACTGTTGAAAAAATAAATAGCTTATCTATTATGACCAGGGCCCGGATTTTGATGACCTGAAAATATAAAAAAAAAACCTATAAAATGACCGAAAAGTCCAGAAAAATTACCTAAAATATGACCCAAAAATGTAATATGTAAGGCCCGGATTTTTATGACCTGAAAATATTTAAAAAATGACATAAAATGACCGAAAAAATCCATAAAAATGACCTAAAGGAGAAAAGAAAGAACACTTCGCTTCCATGTTATTGACATTTCAGAAAACATATGAAGAAAAACTCCCTAAAATGGCCAAAAATGACAAGAAATACCCTCAAAAGTCCAAAAATTTACCAAAAAAATACCCCCAAAATGAAAAAATGTCTTTAAACCTAAAAATGTCAAAAAATGACAAAAAATTACTTATAAAATTTACATTTCTGTAACCAGCAGCTCATATCCGAGATTTATATATTTAAGAGCATCTCATAGGATACAAGGAAAAAAAGATGACATGTCATCAAAATCCGGGCCCTGATTATGACAAACTTATGAATATAAAAGTTCCCATTTACCAAAAATTTCCATAAATTTTATTTTATTACTAACATTACTATTTCTTATGATAAAGTTATGAGTATGTACTCCTGACTCGTTTATTATCTTATGTGTATGTATAACCCTACATATCTGCTGACCAGAAAATAACCGTAAACTTTACATAAATAACTAAATTATTCATTATTATTCCAGTGTAACAGCGTAACGCTACTGCTAGTATAGCTCTCAGGGTATCTCAGGATATATGCCTGTATTTCTGTTGATTGATTGATAATTTTTTAACACTGAGAACATTATTATGCGAGGGTGCAAATGGATGAAGCCATGACACTAAGTGTAACACTGCTTGTGTTATCACACGCAGTCACAGGAGCAAGACACAACACAAGGCACAATACACACACGAAAGTAGGAAGAGTGCTCCGATAGAAGAGGATAGGTGTGACTAGCGTATTGAGATGCGACGTAGGGATAAAAAATCCTGAACAGTTTTAATATTTTTAATATTTAATATTTTTCGATATATATGATGAACATATATTTTAGTTATTTTAGTATGAAGACGGCAAGGCATGCAGTGAAGTAGTTTAACGTAAATCGAAAAGCACCTGAAGATGGCACCTTTGTGCCGAAACATGTAGTGCAGGAGTGAAGAGTGAGGTGGATGAGTGTATGCACTGTAAGACAGCTGGAATAAATCATGGACATGAAAATTAAAATTTATTTTGGAGAAAAAGGGTATGATGTTTGGGATTTGATTTATCTGACCCAGGATGTGGACAAATTGCAGACACACAAAGACAACAGTAAACCTCTGGTTCCACAAAAAATTCACAGAATTTCTTCGCTACATCAGTGATCAGTGATTATTAACTTCCTAAGAAGAACTGTGCTCCATGGAGATATTTACTTGAAACAGTTTACTGACTGACGAACTTACACAGTACCTTGAGGTAACAAAATGGATGTTTCTGAATCTAAATTACTCGATTTTCCTCCACTACACACCGCTAGGTTTAAAGATTTTGTTTTTCTAATGTACATTGTTAAATAATATTAGATTATAATTCACATCTGCTTGAAATCAAATAAAAGAATAAGAATACAAGTAGTGAACTTTACTATAAATAAGACAACTCCTGTAGTGTGTATGTTACATTCCTAACATCACATCACATGAGCACTTATGAAAGGAAACTCAAGAAGTGAGTTTCATATTCTATTCTGTTAAAATAGATGCAAATTTTAATTTGTTACTCTTTGAACAATGCATAGCAGTCAGTATAATGACTGGCTACAGGCTGGAAGACTGAGGGGTCAGAGTTTGAGTACTGGTAGGGTCAAGAATTTTCTCTTCTCCACATTGTCCAGACCGGCTCTGGGGTCCACCAAACGTCCTATCCTATGGGTAACTGGGCTCTTTCCCCCGAGGGTAAAGTGAGGGTAAAGAGGGTAAAGCTGACCACTCAACTCCAACTAGTGCTGATGTCAAGAAAATGTGGATCTTTACATTCACTCCTCCATATGCCTTCAGGGAATAGTGCTTAATTAGTTAGGCACAGGGACAGCTGAACTCTTCTAACAATTAGTGTCATGATAGTTCTGAGCTGTAAATATACCAGAATGTAGTGAGTGAAAACAAAGTGGTCAAGTATAATTTGTCCATGAAAAGCAAAGTATTCCTCCATCCAGAATTCACCCATAAGTGTGATAACACCCCACAGACCCAGTACATATCATCCAACCACCTCATCATGACCCTTATCATCATCACTGCCACGACAGCCCTTTGTGAGCCCTGGCCTCCCTCAGGATTGCTTGCCATTCTTCTCTACTTGATGCTTCATTCCTCCAGTTCTTTACACCCAAAATTCTTATGTCCTGCCACACACATTCTTCCCATCTTAACCTTGGTCTTCCCACTCTCCTATTTCCTTCTGGTTTACATGACCCTTATAATGGGTAGAAAATTGTAGCATAGTAAGATTCCATACAAAAAAACTTGCATTGATGGTTTTATAAAATTAACTGTTATTTGGCTTATTACCTTTCCACTGGACAAGATGAATTTACTGACTAAAACTGAATCCATTTTAAATTACATATTCAACAAAAGTGTAATATATTTGTGACTTTATATGTATACACCTAAAGATGGCCAGCATGACCGAAATATGTATACTTTTCAATTTGGTACATTCAATGCAATCACTTATTACATATGGGCCAAAATATCAAGTGTTGTGCAATGGCAAGAAAATCTTGACTCGAACTTTTTTCATCACCAGAGTACTTTGTAATACACAAGCAATGCGTTTTTATATTCTTCAGTGCTGAAAAACAGTAAATGCGTCAAAATCTTGCACTCAATTCTTTCAGCCTCATATTACCTTCTCATGTATGAGGGAGTACAAAAAGTAGAAGAGCTGAACGATATAGACAATATTGCTAACTCAAGTAATACCATGTATTCTGTGGCATATAATTGTACTCCTATTTAGAATTCTTGTTAAGTGAGAAAACAACTTTCTGTACACATCACACACAGAAAAGGTCTATAACTACACTAAGTCTTCATTTTATGTTTCTCTGGAGGGTATGGGTTTGAACACCATATTGAGAGACAAAAATTAAAATATAAGTAGGAGAACCAATAAAAGGTAAGGTAAAGTTGTCCATGTGCTTAAATAATTAAGCACTGTGCCATGAAGTTGTATGGGGGAGTGGATGTACAGATCTACGTTTTCTTGACCTAGGCACTAGGTGGAAGTTAGCGGTCAGCATCATGCCCCAGCTGCTTTACCCCCGGGGATAGCTTGCCCCTGTACCCATTGCATAGGAAGCTGGGTGGGACCCAGATCCAGTCTTGATGACATGGAGAAGGGAGAATTTCTGCCCCTACCAGGACTCGAACTCCAATTCCTCGGTCATCAAGCCCATAGCCAGTCACTATACTGACTGCATTATCCCGGTAGGAGAACAAATAAATGAGAGTTATGTTATGTCAACTGGAGTATATTTGTATTCCAGTATGATAATACTACAAGTCTACAAGTGTGCTACCCTGGATACATCCAAAACAGTAGGACAGGGCTTAGAAATTTTAAACTGCCCCTTTCAAATTTCCTTTTAATGTCATTTTTTTTAAAAATGTCCATTATAGCCAGATCTTTATCATTGATATTTTCATTCCTGGATGCTGACACTGAAGAACAGAGGAAGGGAGCCAGTTTCTTTCCCAAATGTAGAACACTTCTGATATCCTGCGAGTATGTGAAACCTTTATTATTATAACAAAACATAAACTGAAGAGTGCCATCTTACAAAACATACTCTGTAGTACAATTCACACACAAGTAATTCCTAAACTGAAGAGTACCATCTTACAAAACATAAACTGTAGTACAATTCACACACAAGTAATTCCTAAACTGAAGAGTGCCATCTTACAAAACAAACTGTAGTACAATTCACACACAAGTAATTCCTGAACTGAAGAGTGCCATCTTACAAAACAAACTGTAGTACAATTCACACACAAGTAATTCCTATTATGTGAATTAAATACATTTACTCAAATCACATGAACTCATTTATTCAGAACTTAGCAATGAATTCTCTAACAAATCTATAGTCTGCTGTCCTCTATTCTTACAGTTGCTCCTGTGAAACTATAATCCTTGTTAGATGAAATCAGCCCCAATAATATTCCCATAACAGTGCTTAAAAATTGCAGTATTTATAAATGGGGGGGGGGATATTTGTATGAAACTGTTACATTTAAGACATCATCTTCTTTCAGTTAATTAGTCTGTGTCTGCCAAAACACTAAAGACAACAAAAGAGTGTATATGAAATGACAACAATCCAGCTGCTTTTAGACAGTGTGGTCCCAAGTGCTAGTGAACCAGACCACCAGATCAGACCAAACACTAATGCTTGTGTCAGCAAATTCACCACCATCAGTCTGAAAAGGAATAAAAATTCCGAGTCATAAAATAATGATAATTATTATTAATTCCTTGCTATGCCTAATGCAGACTGTAGTAAAATTAAACATCTTCTGTTACTAAAATGTAGTGCATGTAGGCATCAGATTAACTGATCCCATGCCATAAAAATACAGTGAATTGAAATTATGAGGTAAATTGATAAACAAGAGCTGTATTGTAAGATTTGAGGTTTTCACGGCAGTGACTATGAAGAAAGCAGTCTTCTGCGATGTGGTGCCGTGTAGATATTGTGTTAACCGACGTTTCGGAGGACTTAGTCTGTGAGCACCTGCTCGCGCTGGTTCCTCGCTCATGGATTTTCTTCCTTTTTCTTCTAGCCTGAAGATGGAGGTGATACGTTCTTCCGAAATGTCGGTTAACAGAATATCTACATGGCGCCACATCCCAGAAGACTGCTTTCTTCAAGGGCTGTATTAATTGATTCTATGATATTAAAACCTGGAACTTCTATAGAAAAGTAAAGCTGTCCCTGTACTTCACTTAGTAAGCACTACGCCATGAAGCCGTATAGGGGACCGGAGGTATGGACACACAATCTGACACTTCTATACTGCTAAAAAAAGGAGGGGAGGGGGGCCAGCAACAAATCTCATCATAAGCTAATTCACTCCAAACCACATCGAAACTCATTTCATATAAGATTTTCTATATGTTATCATCCTTTCTCCATCCTTGTTACCAAGCAAGTTGGTTCAGGCAGCAATGCTTCTGACTTATATTTTTGAGATGCCCATTACAAATCTTGGTGATTTTACTTAGTCCCTCCATGCTCCCATGACAATAAATGATGTTTTATCTGGACACTGCTCAGCATATTATTATGCACTGAGGAAAAGAAAAATTTTCTAAGATGGTACTCACATATAATTCTTGCGTCTAGCTGCTTGAAGAGTCCGTGGGTGCTCATTGTTAAGATATATTCTTACTCCCTGGGCCATACTATCAAAGTATGTTACCCAATCCAACTGTGAGATGTCAAGGTTAAACATTTCCTTGTCTTTACCACTGAGTCTTTTCTGAAGTTCTTTGGTTTGATTATTCTGAAATAGCCACTCGTTGAAGATAAATGGTGCTAGCCGACCGAGAGAATTACCAACATTTGTGTGCAAGCGAACCAGGCTGCAAGCACAAAAAATATAGGAGATGAAATACCAATGATTACTGCTTCAGCTGTTATTAATGTGTATTCTTTGCAGTAAATCCAAGAGGTGAATATATACAGGAGAAATCACACCTACCCATCTGAAACTTCTCAGTTTGATGGGATAGAAATGTATGCCTCTGAAACTTGATTTATATATACAGATAGAATAAATAAGGTGACAATTGATATTATGAATGCAGTAATACCTCATACTTTGTTAGGCTCTGCACTGGAAGTTTGTGAAACATGTTTAATTTTTCATCATAATAATCAAGTACAACTCTTACTTGATGTAATCCACAAATCAAATTTTATCTCTTTTCTTAAAAAAACACTAGCCATATGAAAAGTGGTATGAAATGTAAGATGTAGGGCCCATTCATGTGTACAGTTTTATGTTGGATCTGAGGTTCTCATGACAGTGACTACGAGGAGTATAAGTCTTCTGCAATTGTGAACTCAGTAGTTGGAGAGAACCTGATGTTTTGGTGGAACATACAACCTGCATCTTCAAGGTCAAAAGTAAGCCAAGTAAGAAACCAGCAGAATATTGTTGGATATTTGTTCAGACAAAGATAGAGAAACTGCCACTGCTAGGCAACAGCTGTGTAACACACAACAATACCAAAGCCATCACTAAGCGACAAACATGCAATAATGGAGGAACAGTTGGAAGTGGTGTCTTCTGTGACTGCACATTGTGAGTTACTTAGGCAGTGGGAAGCCAATTAGTTCAGCTCAGAAGTCAGTCAAGAATTTGACAGCTGAACACAGATATCGGCAGTTGGAAGTCAGTTCAGTTCAGGCCAGGAGCTAGCAGCTTAAGGAAGTACTGGCTGAAGCCAGTGGTCAGAGTATGAGGCTGGCAGGAGATGGTCACCACCTTGTGAGAACATGAGCCCAGAAGCAGAGGAACATCTGTTACTGGAAGCCGCTACCTAGCAATGTGACTGATCTGTGAGGTGTAGTCCCAGGCTGCATAAGCATCCAATAAATCCAACAGTCGATCCAAAACCTGTCTATCATCACTTAACATATGGCAAGTTCCTCTGAAACACTGGGATCTCTCTGAACTATACTGTCCTGCAACCCAGGAGACCATACTCTATAAACTGTTCTTATTTAACACATTTTTCAATAAGGCAAACATTTTATGAAATTATTAGAAAAATAACTCCTAGCTTTGCACCATAATATTTTAGTTGCAATCAACTTTGCAATAGTAAACAACAGATTAGTATGTGCAATAACATAAAATTACTTATATCTAATCAATGTCAAGGTCAATGATATATGCAACATATATGGAAAACATAAGCTCCTTAAACTGGGGACTTTTGTAGCTTCAATTTTAATGCTAACATACTACAACTGATTTCTAATAACCACTGTCCTCATCCATAAACTGTACATCTCATACCTACACAAGGCAAGTCATAAAGTTAAAATTTTATTTATTTATCCACACTTTCATGGAATAGAATACATAGATTAAATGAATGAAATTTGTGAATGAAGTAATAATTGTAATACAGTTAAAAATAATTTAAAAGAAAGGGTTATGTTTTTCTTCTGCATTAAGAATGACCTAATTCGGTAAAATTAACGTGTTCAAGTAAAGAAATTTATTGGAAGAAAATGAGCTAATGTTACTTCAGCATGTATGTATATTCACACAACTCTGACACCGTAATGATAACTGCAAATAGATGTAATAACTTATAGTAATAAACAATGAATTTGTGTACAGAAGGATGTAAATACATAGATTATGAGTTCTGAAAGTGAGGGGTTACTTTATTCACATACAGGTATATCACTCCCAAGATCTAATTTGCAGGAGCATCTATTTCTTAACAGTATGCTTAAGAATTTAATTAATATTCTACAATTAAGTTCCAAAAGTACTTGTCACATTTCTTTTCCTTTAATGAATGCCTCCACCTGCATACAATGACCTGCCAAAGTTATAAATTAAGCATCGTTTAAATCAGTAAACCATTTTTCATTTTACACCTACACCTCTAGACATGTGCACATGCATCCACATATCACACAATGCACATGCCACATACAACACAACACACAAAAAGAAACAGTTATGAAATTCTGTATGTGTGTCGTGCATGCTCAGTGCTGTTCACCTACTGTAATTTACAAATTTGAGTTATAAAACTTGCCATATGAAATTTCACTTGTCTACTTATATATTCTCATCTGCAAGCTGAGAATTTAACAGAAATTTCATTTGGCTACCTTACTGCTGCTAATCATTTACCACAAATAACCTTTACAGATACTATAAAACAGATGTATGTAATAAGTGTCTTAACAGACTGACAGAAATACGTTGTGTCTAATATGCAATTTGATAGGAATCCCATTATTCCATGGTCATAAATTTAATAAACCTAGTGTTGGTACTGTTTATCAAACATTCTTCTATACGTTAAGATTCTTAAACATCGTAATGTGCAAAACTTTTAAGTAATGTCTGACAAACAACAAAAATTTTAAAAGTTCTATCTTCTGGGGTATAATTCCATGTAGCTCATTGAAAGTCAGTGGACATTTCAGAGGAACACATCACCTCCATCTTCAGGGACAAAAAAATAAGGCAAGACAGAAACCAGCATGAAGCAGGTAGCAAGGAGAGCAATCCACTTGCTGGAAGTTCTGGTTTATATATTTCTCTGCCATTGGATCACTCTGTTCTGTGTGAGAGCCAATGAGAACTGGCAAATTCTCTTTCACTCCTATTAGTTAGGGGGCATGTGGTAGCGTAGTTGGTTGAGGCACTATGCTACAAGCTGGAAGGTCGTGAGATCGAATCCCGATGAGGTGGATTCCTTCAATTTACCTAATCCTTCCAGCCGCACTATGGCCCTAGGGCCAACTCAGCCTCTAACAGAAATGAGTACCAGGAATATTCCTGGGGGTGAAGGGTGGCTGGCACGTAAGGCTCACAATGTCACCACTATCTGTGAGCTAACTGTCTAGAATATCTGGGAGCCTCAACATCTCACAACCCTATGGGCCTTCACGGGCTGTTACAGGGATACCTTTACTTTACTTACTTACCTACCTACTTACTTTACTCCTATTAGTTCACTCTGTTTTGTGAGCAAACCAATGGGAAACGATGAGTTGTCTCGTGGTTCTCTCCTGTTTCCCCATATGAACCTGAACTTTTGGCAGACAGATTTTTCTGTTTTCTACCAGCATTATGCAGGTTTCTTGGTTGGCTTATACTTCTACCCTGAAGATGGAGGCAATATATTCCTCAAAAACACTGGTTGACTTTCAGTGGATTACACAGTGATATGTTGCAGAAAACATAACTCTTCATAACCATCACTATAACAGCTTCACATTCTACACAGTTAAAAATGCACAGGTACTTATGGAAATTATGCACAGAATGGATCTGTGGGAGCCTCCCACAGTGAAGAAAATGCTATCCAATGGCCATTGGTTCATGTGCTGCCTAACGACAAAAGTATAAAAAAGCAGACTTCCGACATGCTAGCATTGAATCACTGTCCAGGCCCCCTAGGACAGTGTTTCTCAATCGCCGGGCCATGGCCCGGTACCAGGCTGCAATCTCACAAAGGTTTAGAATCACTGCCTTAGGGAATTAAGAAAATTCACTGAATGAAAGAGGACTGATCAGTGTGTGTTGGTTAGCAGTAGAAGTATCAAATTTGAGGCAGTGATTAGAGAGTTGAGTGAGTGTGTGATGAACTTATACGAGAGTGTGACATGTTTGAAAGAGAGAAAGAGACAACTCGTCCCGCTAGTACATGGCGTTCGTCACTTGTTTTTGGCTGGAGTAGTAGAAGTTGTAGTTGCAGTGAATTCAGTTTTAAAGTTTATAGTAGTTCCTTGCACATAGTGAGTATAATGCCAAAAATGGCGGACGTTCCAGCGCAAGGATATCGGGCATTTTGGGCAAACAATCATGCCTCCCTGCAGATGGAATACCAGGTCCTAACAGGACAATATCTGGATGCAGACACCCAATACAGGGAACTGTTAAAAGTTTTATGTGCCACTGAAGAGGTGGCAGGCTATACACCTGCTGCAGTCAAGGAGTCCTGAATGGTTGGCTATAGTCGATGCCATCGAAGAAAATAGAGCTAGTGTCTGCAAGGCTCTAAGCAGGAAGATCCTTTTCAGGGCTCTCTATGGCATATATACAATCACATTCGGTGACTTAAAGGCCACACTCAAGGCGAGTAACACAGCAGGCCAGAATACAGCACCAAAGTCTACACGACAATCATCCGCTCAGGATGATGGTTTCCAAGAAGTCCAGAGGCAGAAGTGACAAAGCACCAAAGAGACCGCCTGAACTTCAAGGAAAGCAGTAACAACAGCAGTTTCTGCCACTGTGAAACCCCCCAAAAGGAGGTTGGCACCAGGAACGTTTTTACCCCTTTCAGGGCAATGGTAATCAACATGGCCACAGAGTCACTGGATACAGAGGCCAATACACAACAAGAGGCAGTTCCTAGCAAAACAGGCAGGCTGCCACCAATAGTGATAACGACCACAACTAACCTCATTCAGTTGCAAAAACACCTCAAAAGTGTGGTTAAAGAAACTTTTGAGTTCTGTAACTCCAGAAAAGGAACCAGAGTAATCACAAAAACCTTGGCAGATTTTGCAGCTGTCAGATCCCATCTTGAAACCCACAACCTCTCCTACTTTACCTTCTACCCTAAATCTTTGAAACCTATCAAAGCTGTAAGATGCTACCTCCCGATCAGTACCCCCGCAGAAGACATCTCCGACGGACTGGTAAGCCTAGGTTTTGACACTATCAGCAACAAACAGATGTCAACTACTAGTGGTTCACCTGAGGAAACAGCAACCAAAAACCTCTCCCTATTCCTTATCACCTAGCTCAGAATGCCAACATCCCAAGAGATTTTCCAATTGTCTAATCTCTGCTACACTGCAATTATGGTAGAGGCATACAGAACTCAGAATGCCTTACACAGTGCCATAACTGCCAACAGTTCAGCCATGTCTCGGAAAACTGCAGGCAACATCCCTGTTGTTTGTGGTGTGGGAGCAGCCACTTGCACACGGAGTGCCCTGACCAGGAGTATGCATCTTCCACCCTTACATATGCAACTGCCAGTTGGTGGAAGGAGAAAACCCCCATCCCACCAATTATCGGGGTTGCAGACTTGTGAAGGAGCAGCTGCAGAAAAAAAGAAGACACAGAGGGCACCCAAGACTATAACAGGAAGGGTGTCCTCTTCCAACCTAACTATTCCAGGTTTATCCTTTGCAGCAGCCTCCAGCCATTTTTAGAGGACAACAATATCACCGCCATCACTAGTACAGGCTGACCTGATGTGAAGGAAGTTTCACAGGTATTCATCAGGCATGCCTTTCTTCCCTGCTCATCTGTGATATTCATTCTAACAGCAATAAATGTGTGTTATACTTTGATGTGCTTGTCTCTCAATGTCACCAGACTCAACATCCCACAATTCACTAAATTGTGTAAGTTTATTTTATATTAACTTGCTATGCACTTACATCGGCTTGCCACCTGCTACCTTAATGATGGTGTCCAGAATATAAGCAGGGATGAAATGAAGAAAAATGGCAGATATTCTGAATAGCAGCAAACTTGGCAGCAACTTAAGTGTAGGATACCAAACAGCTGACTTCAAAGGATATTTGTGCAGTAAGCCATTGATCCTGTTCCCCACTTTTGACCACTGGAAAGGATTTGTGGTGCTGGTAGTGCAGTGGTACACAGGTGTAGTCTGTGGCCTGTCAAAACAACATTTAATAACTAAGACACCAAAAATATATGCAACATAATAGAGAAAATTACATAATTTTCCATCATCTTTAACTTCGGAAGATTTCAGATTGTTAAGAAAAGTTATGTCTTCTGGAATACACTGCCATGTAGTCCACTGTAAGTCAACCATTGTTTTGGAGGAACATGTTGCCTTCATCTTCAGGGTTGAAGAATTAAGACAAGCAAGAAACCAGCATGAAGCATGCAGCTAACAACCTGCTCCATGGCAGTTTCTTGCTTGTCCTACTCTTCAATCCCAAAGATGGAGGCAATATGTTCTTCTGAAACACTGGCTGACTTTCAGTGGACAACATGGCATTATATCCCAGAAGACGGAACTTTCCTTAACAATGACTGTGAGGACCTAAAATCCTTCTGGTTATTGTTTATGCTGTAGTTATTAACATAGTTTGATGTCCCCCTCCCCTTTCTATTTTATTCTAACATAGTAATTTCTAAAAACTTATTTTATTTAGTCTTGCCATTTATATATTTTTTAATATAAACATATTACAAAATCTATAACACTGCAAGATTTAATATATGTATAGGGTGACATGTCGCGCTAGCTGGATGCTAGCTGGAAAATGGATTTGTTTCCATCCTCAGGTGAGGGGGGGGAAACACCTGCTCTGTTGGGTCTGTTAAGAAAAGACCAGTGATTGAGGTTAGCTCTTTCCAGGGGACCCAGTACAATAGGTGTCTCCCCTTCACCTGAGTCAGGAAACAGATCCAGTTTCTGAAACATTGTGTTTTCTAGTTTTTAGAACACTGGACAATGGACAAAGTCCAAAAATCCAGTAATTCTGAGTAATATGCAACATTATCAGAACCCTTTACAATCTACCAAAAATTTATGGCATAAACATTTACTGTACATACATTATAAAACTTTTAAAAATGATCACACCATTTCTGGCAGACTCAAAGCAGGCATCTTACACAGCACGATATAAAATTAGGACTGCCTATTACAGAGCAGCACCTAGAAGCTTGAATCCTTTACTGCAAGGATGTGCAGATATCTGTCTATATTAGCAATTTGTAGTGTTAATTTCTGCTACAAAAATAAATCACAAGGTATGGGAGAAAGTATGCATGTAAAATGTTGTATTTCAGCATCCTGTTGCACTGCATTCTTTCCATGTATTTTCTTCCATCTTTTGTGCAACTTATAGAAGAAATTATAATTCAAAACTCTGAATTAAAACAAATACATGGAAAGTATTTGTCTGAGTTTTCAGATCCTCGTATTTTTATTGTTCAAGGAACCATTATTCCCTATAAACATATTCACTCCTGACTACTCAGTTCTGAAAGAGATATAACATAGTGGGTTGGTACAGTTATAAAGTATTGGGCTCATATCTGAAGCAACTCAATACAATTGGCATAACATGATTTTGACACAGCACAAAAGAACAATAAATAAACAACAAAAATCACAATTCTGTTACATTTTTAAAGGTATGCACCATTTTTCTTTTATTGCTAGTGGGGTGGGACTAAGTCCCTTGTACTGCAGCCACTTCTGGCCTATTGTACCAGCCCCAGATGATAGGTGAGGGTGACTGTGGAGCAATTGGTGGAATTAAGATTGGCAGAGGAAACCGAAGTACTCGGAGAAAACCTGCCCCAGTGCCACTTTATCCACCATAAATCCCACTTGACCAGACGCAGGATCGAACCCGGGCAGCCGTGGTGGAAAGCCAGCAACTAACCGCTTGAGCTATGGTGCAGCCCTATGCACCATTACTACGAGTAATTATCAATTTGCAAAATTCTAGCCAAATTAATATAGTTTTATTTCTGAACACATTCATGGTAGGAAGAGAGGTTCCTGCTTCACTTTCCCCTGCACCAGCTAATCAAAGATAAGTCAACTGTTTTCTGGACCATGTCAAAAGACTGTATGGTAGCCCACTTCTTTTTATTGCAAGCTCATATACCAGGCATCATGACAATGAAAAAAAATATATTATCTCAGTAAGTTGAATAGGTAAAAGGACATTTAATGGGCAGGAATTGCTCTACCTTCCTTCGAATCACTGTTAAGAAAGCAGAATTCTATTTTCTAGGATAGAAATGCTTTGTAGTTCAGACTACACAGCATTTGACCATCGCTGTGAGAACTCAAACCAAACATGTTAAGAGTGCAGATTCCTGTACAAAGCAGAGTGTTTTATAAGATACCATTCTCTCAGACATTACTTGATATATTGCAAAATGGACCTCAAAATTTGAACATAATCTGCCAGATAGATGTTATGATATTATCATGAGTTAGTGACTACACATAGACATGGAGTTTGGACTGATAATTTGATTTGTCATGGAAATGTGTTTACTGCACCGTTGCCTAGCAATTGCTGCATCTATTCATTCCATTATTCTGGCTCTCAGCCATTATGTCACAATTCATTGGTTTACAGTATACATACTACAGTGTGTAGTGATGCAGGCAGTGATGTAGTAGGCTACTCAAGCACGTGTCAGTAATGTAAAGTTAGCATACCTGGTTGTGCCCACATGCCATGCGGCAGCAATGAGTTCATTGATGACTATGTCAACGGGAATATAATCGTAAATGACATCCTTATCAAGAGGCAAGCGGCGCACTATACCCTTTGCTGCACCCATTAGAAAGCCTGTCGGTCCATTCTTAGAAACAGTCCAGCCTGGAATTGGTTCCTTCCAAGCACAAGTAACTGCAACATTACAGCAATCCTTATCAGACTTTTAAGTTCTTCTGAAATGATAAGTAACCAGTCTTGAAGGGTTTTAATGATGGTTGTGTATTACACTTAATATTCTAGTTTCCTGTACTTTGTCCATTATCTATTACTGTAAAACGCAGAACATGTTTTAGGAGCTGGATCCACTGCTGTACTCAAGTGAGGTACTTTACTCAGCTGGGTCTGTTACAATGAATCAATACCATTTATTGTTCTGCTTTCCAGAATATCAGACAAAGCAATTACTACTTTCACCTCATCCAACTGTCCACATGGATATTATGAATACTGCTCTGAATGAATACAGCCTAATCAAATTTTGTCTTTATTCACAATGAAAAAGTATTTTAACATGTTTTGCTACTGAAGACACAGTTCAGATTGTTAACTGGTTTATTTAACAACCTACAAGTCATAACTACAAATACTTGTAACACTGTTGCGGGTTTAGACAATTTACAAACCCCCATGACAATTTCTTCAGTAGTCTTCACATATTTATAACGCGGGAGCTATACAAGTGTCACTGAAGTACACACTCCCAATACCTTCTGAGTTATCACCAACTATCACTGATTATCACACATAAACTCTTCTTATCATGCATTTGGTTCTTCTTTTTCCATGGCTGCTAGACTTATAACGTCTTCTTCATATTCACAATTCACTCTTTGCAACTGAACTCAGCGACTGCTAGACTTCAACTGAACTGCTTAGGCATTCCAGTTCTCTTATAAACCCTCAGCCAGACAGCGGAAAACGCACCTCGCTTCCCTACTGCATAATCGCCGTGTTCACAGGCGTTGCTGGGCAGCACTGCCAAGAGTTGTTTATTGCTGTGTAGTAACCGTGGTGTCTCCTGTTACGTCACTGTGGGAAGTGCTGTTACATCCCTGCGGGGAGGGGTGTTTACCGAGCGTTGCATAATGATGGAAGGAGTGGCGGTATGTGATGTCACTCGCGAGACCGCAGAGTTCACGTGACCCCTACTGCCTGTTGCGCCATCCACATCACAGCATCAAATGTATATGGTGGTTGAGAGTTAACCTGGCCATGGTCACCTGCAGAAGCTGGCATGAATCAACAGGTCTGAAGGCATGGCCTCCATGATGCTATTGAGTGGGTATTGATGGGTATGAGTGACAACAGTTGTATAGCTTCATTTAAGGGCCTTCAGATAAACTATGGACCCTCTCAGCCATGAGCAAGTAGTCTGGTAACTGGATTGTTGACTGACCACTGGCCACTGAGATGGCACCTATATGTCATGGGACACCCAGATAATGCCATATGTAGCAAATGTGGACAGAAGGAAAAATCTTTCTACTATATACTTTTCTATATCCAGTTTTGGCTGGGCAGAGAATAAAGATTTTCCACCATCCATGGTTAGAGCTGATAGATATTAGAAGGGTCTCAAGTCAGAAAGGTTCTAGCTTTAATACTGAGGTCTGGGCTTTCAAAGGGCCTTTAAAAGATTGGGTATTGTATCAGTGGACCCAGTAGTGGCTTGAGTGTTTAGGGTGACTGGAAACTGTCCTCCCCGAGTCAACACAATATAACACAAGCTATTAAAAGCTTGTCACTTCTTCTACAGTGGAATCCCCATCTAACATTCCTCTGTTTAAGATTTTCCCTCATTAAACACTCAATTTCACTGAACCCAAGCCAATAAATTTCAATGTTAAATTACCTCCATTTTAAGAGAGTCCTTAGTTTAGCATTTGAATCCACTGCTCGAAAAAGAACTCCTACTGTGGTTGTCACTGTATCATGTTACCATTCCTTACTTTGCCCATGCATGATGCATGTCCCCCACATCCACCTCATCCTTCTTGATTTAATTACATGAATAAGAAGGATCATAGTTATGAAGTTAAAATTTGTTGTATAAAACAGAGATTAATGCAAGACTGTAATATGTGACCATACAAAGCCTTTTTTACATTGGAGGGAAATAAAATGAAGTTGTTCCTGGGCTTAATTAATTATCATGCGAAGAAAACATATGGTGGGGGCAGAGTACAGACCCACATATTTTCAACTTCAACACTAGGCAGAGAATGAGTAAATCTACTAGTACACACTGAATACATTATAGTATTTTGAACAGAAACTCTACTGGGAAAAGAGATTTTAATTCACTTTTTCTTTTTCAGATTTATAATTCCTGCCATGGCTCATCTCAGAGATATGCTTGTTTACAATACTCACTCACGCTTGGTCGGACAATAGCTGATGGCACTTGACTGATGGCATTAGCAACTTCATGTTCTGCCAAAGCTTTGGTGAATGTGTATGTGTTTATATGGTCATGGAGAAGCCTGAAACAAAAGTTGCAAAACCATCACTGCAAATCCTTTGGAATGCAAGTCAACAACTCCTGATGTATGGAGTATGCACTTTATAAACTTTACCATGCAGAAAGAGAAAGCAGAATCATATCTCTAAACTTTTCTAAGACAAAGATTTCCCATTACTGAAGACAACAGATCTCGGCAAAACAAAAATCAGGACTAATGCCTGCCACTAAATTATCATTGTCATCATTGCCACTGCTGTCATTATCATCCTTCAGTATTACTGGGGCCTGTTCTGATATCACTGCTGATCAGATCACCTTCATTCAGGTCTCCCAAGATATTGTCCTTCCTGGTGTCTGTACTGTATTGTACTGTGGTGTTCACTGGTAGTCTATTATCCTCTGTCCTTTCCACAGTCTTCTGTATTTCTCAAAATCTAAAATGTTAGCTATGGTAAGTTGTTCTCTAATAGCTTCATTGCACACACAATCTCTCACTGTCCAGCAACTGACCTGAGGAATATTAACACGATTACTCCCACAGAGACATTCACTTACCAATGTTTTTTCTAGACTACCACATTTCACCATGATTGGACAGGGACAAGCCATGGCAAAACAATATATTTATCTTTCAGAATTCACTTTCAGCATGAAATATTTTCCTCTGCTGCTAGAAGATGTAATTAGTTGCCTCTTGTGAGCCTATTGATAAATGTAGACTGTTTGATACTAGCTTATTTCAAGAGCAATACTGCAAACCACTAAAGTACAGGAAACGCTGGAAGCAGTGTTGCTGGGATGGAAACAGTTAAGTCATACCTGTTAACCAAATCTGAGCAGCTTCAAATAAATCCACTCTTGAATTAATAAAGTAATTAGTGGTCCTGCCACTTGAAGCACTTCTAGTTCTCTTATTTGGTGTGCCACTCAATTATCAGGTTGCATTTTGGATGACTTCTAGGACTTTGAACAATGTTGTCATCTCTTGTGTACTTTTCAATGTTGTGGAAAACAGAATACAGTCATGAGGTAATAAATCTACTTAATAAGGTGGGCCAGCGTCAGTGGGATGTTATGCTTCATCAAGAATTTCCTTGTGTCAGCTGAAGCATTATCATGATGCAACAAGTGTGAATTTATTTTCAGGCCATTTCTCCAAAACTTCATGTCTTACATGTCTCAGAACATCAAATAGAACAGCTGATTGACACTCTACCTGTCTGTCATCGTGAATTTCATCTGACATGGATAACTGTTTATTCATGCCTTGATTATCCATATCAGAAATTCTGAAATTTTTAAATTCAGCAAATTCAAATGTTCTAGTTTGGCTGAGAGTTTCCTTTCCAAATTCAAATTAAATACTAAATACATTTCTGTAGCAGTCTTTCAAAGTTTCATGTACAAACTGATTCACATATATTCTTGCACAAAGTCAGCCATTTTACAGTGCACTGGCCACTACTAAAAACACATTTACACATTTTACTCATAAGTAACATAAGGCATAGATCTCTCTTCAGCTGGTGTGACATAATAAAAAATTGTCAATAATATCTATGGCTTATTCTTTATATGGGGCATGCAGTAACGTAGTTGGTTGATGCACTATGCTACAAACCAAAGGTTGCGGGTTCAAGTCCCAATGAGGTCGTTAGATTTTTTTCAATTGACCTAATCCTTCCAGCCACACTATGACCCTGGGGTCGACTCAGCCTCTAACAGAAATGAGTACCAGGAATTAATTAAATAATTTTCCTGAGGAGTAAAGTGTGGCTGGTGCGTAAGGCTGACAACCTTACCGCCATCTTTGAGCCGATTGTCTAGATAATAATGTGGGACTCTCAACGTCTCACAACCCTATGGGCCTTCATGGCCTGTTGCAGAGGTAGCTTTACATTTTTTACTTACATTTATTCTTTATACACCTAGTATATGTTACCAAGGCACAATATATCAGTCCTGGAATTTTATTATTTGTCTTCATATTCCAATACACTGACATATTTTATTGTTCATGTGATAGCTTTGTAAGATGTATTACATTCCAAGTGTTTAAAATAAAAGTTTATCCTTGGAGCCTAATGTCAATGTACATCATTAAAGCTGCTAAGTTCTGCAATACACAACATCAAGGCAGTTTTGCCTTCAATTTCAAACTGATGACATATTTAACAACATACTGCACAGCTGGCAGAACTAATCAATGCCTGGGTGCTTTTAGAATTCTGAATAAAATATATATTTACTGTAAAATAACAAGAGCTCTAATACTCCTGCTTCAGTTGTTCACACACTCAGTGAACCAAGGGTGTTTGCCTTAAATGCAGTTCTTTGTCTCTGCACTGTGCCCAGAAAAGAAGTTTTCAAGCGATTTTACTACTTGATTTAATGGTTCCATGTCAAAAAGTAGTATAAAATACATACTGTGGTGTCAGATCATTAAGGGCTTCATCACTAAGACTGGCTGTGAGGTCAATCACTTTGCTTGCATCTTCTGGCACGGGATAAAGAATCTCCTCAATTTCTCCCTTCCGATTGCTGTTTACATATGCACTAGACACATGTACAAGAGCCTGCACAGAAAATCATATTCTTCATATACACACGCACACACTGTTACATGTTGCTAGGCAATGTGCTGGTAAACAAGTTCCCATGAAGACAGATTCTTGGTAAACAGTCCGTTGCTGGTTTACACAACAGATGAGGCTGTGCTTTTATGTTGTCCAAGCCAAGCAGCAGTGGAACAACGGGAATAGATCTTGGAGTGTGTTTGGTGCCAGTTTGAGACCGTAGTGGAACACGACCATTCGTCGCACCAGGAGTTCAACAGGAAGGCTTTCAGATTGGAGTTCATGAAGTAAGCAACTGGGATGTTCAGTGGGTTGTGGAAAGTGAGAGAGTGGGCAGTGTGGGGGGGTCGGTGCCCTCTGAAGCAAGACAATAAAGATCGGACGTTGTGGAGGAATAGACGACCTCTGAAATGGAAGAAGAACCTGCTAGCATTACTAGCAGTGTTAGCATAAGAGGAACTGGAAATGTGTGAGCATTGGCCACTTGGGATAATTTTATCCTGCCATTTGAAAAAAAAAAAAAAAAAAACTTTACATATTATTGGACACTGCATATTTCTGAGCTTGCTTTCTGAATTCAAATATCCACCAGTTAAGGAGGTGTTAACTGGTAAGCANAGCCATCGCAGAGAGAGAGAAAAGAACTCGCAGGAAGGTGCTGAAAGCACAGCCCCCAGAAAGGAAGGTGATACACCGTTAGGCTATTCGAGATGAACAGACTTAAGGAGGGAGCAATGTCGCATATACACCCATTGCTAAGCAACATGTTGGGAAACAAGTTCCTGCAAAGACAGATTCCTGTTAAACATTCTGTTCCTAGATCATGCAACAATAGATGAGGCTGTGTTTTCTGTGCCAAGCAACAGTAGAATAATGATAAACACACCGCATTACACACATGCAACAGAAGAACAACAGGGTTATGCAACCTGTTTCTAGGCAACAGCTCAGTAAACACATTTCTGCATAGGCAGTATAAGCAGCAACATCACACAACAGTGGATAATGACCACATGACATGTTTTCTATAGGTGCGCGGTGAAGGTTTATAGGGGACAACAAAGTTTGTTTGTGGGCAGCCATAAGCTGGAGAAGTGAGTAATAGACAAAGTCCATGAGAGTTTTTAGCTGAGTTCCAAGGTTCCAGGGTGACTGAACAAGAAACGGCAAGAAGACTTCACAGTGATTTGAAGTGCTAATTACTGTGTTGAGATTCGTTGCTAGGAGACGACTAGTGTAAACTGAGAATCCTAGTGGGTGTGCAACGATGAACTGTAAATTGTGTAAATCAGTGACAGCACTGTATTAATTGTATTTAGGAGAACTTGTAATTGAAGTGCTAACAGAGCCAATCATCTGACCTGGAACCCATTATTTTCGTCACGTGTGCCTCCCTGCATGTAATTATATATAAACCTTTTGACATCCATTGCACAGTTTTCCCAAAGCTACTCGCTGTAACATTCCACACATCAAAAAGAATACAACTGATATGGCTCCTAACTTGCAAAGAACAATATATTTTCATTATGACAGAAAGACTTTCCTGTATCATTTTAACATGTGTATTACCCAGAATCTATTCATTCATGAATTCCATACTTCCAGAGCTTTGTAAAACTACAGTTTTTTGCTGATTACAATTAAATGCTTGAGCTATCACTATGAGACCTCAAAGCCACAGTGAGCTATGAAGGCACAGACCTCCTGCTTTCATAGTACCAAAATCCTGTATTCTGAGATGTATGATTGGCAAACAGAATCCAGATATGTATATTTTTATTTTACAGATAGTAACTTAAATGTTAAAAATTGCTTTATTTATTCTTGGGTTATTTAATGGTTTAATTGTACTCATCCTATTCTGTCACACTAGTGCCTCAATACATAACAAAAGGAGAAACAACACTACCCACACGTCAGAGGATGGCAAATAATACCCCAATCTCCCATTTTCACAGAGTGATGTGGAGACATGAACCTCAGTAGTTTAAGATTTGAAATATTAAGAACATTCATAACATATTTTTAACTTAAACATCTTTTAACATAATTAAAAATCTTTATATAAAACTATGACCTTATGTACCATGATATATGTAATAGTAGTTCCTTAACATGTTATTGCCTTCTGAAGGTGGTCACAGCTGACCGAAACATGTAAAGGAATTATATAAATATATACTGAGTCATTTTATTATTATTTAATGGTGCTTTCAGTTTCTAAGCTAATACAGTGTTGAATGACAGGATGATCATTGAATAATGAACAGTGGTCATGGCCTAAGGTACTATCTTCATATCTGCTTTGAGGAACTGTGAAAAACAGCCAAAGCCCTCAGCTATGATACCTATCCTCTAGGCTGAAATTATAATCCAGGACATTCCAAATATGAAGCATGAATGCTACCCACCATGATGTTCAGTCTGCATTTATCATACCTGAGGCTACTTTCCATATATCATTGGTATGTAACAAGAGCAACCTACCTCCAGATGGGAAATTTCCTTGCATAGTTGTACAACTCTTCTTGTCCCTAAAAGGTTGATACTGACACCTGGTCTAAGGGTAGCCTCAAAGTCCAGTGTGGCAGCTGAATGGAATACAACATTAACATTTTCAGTCAGTATTCTTCTATCAGCAGGAGTTAATCCCAGGTTATCCTCTCCCACATCTCCAGCCACAGCAACCACCTTCTGGAATATATCTGCACCTCGTAGTTCTCTCAACTTTTCATATAGCTGTGGAACAAGATAATACTGATTATATTCATCATTTCATTTTTCCGTAGATTACCATACTAACGTCTTTCATCATATACTCCCTATGCAATCTGTATGGCCTTTTCTTTCACATAATCAAATGTCACGTGCCTAGTTGCAGTAGTGGATTATGTATCCTTGTTAAGCTCAGAGATATTCTGTAATAATTTTACATTGTACATGAATATGAGTCAATCTAACTGGGTGCATGATTCAAGGCACACAATGTCTTAGAAATTTCAGAAAAGGACTGACAAATAATTTCAACATATATTTCTGTGCAGCAGCTGGAAACACTGGTGAGGTGGTGCATGTTGCAACACCTAACTATATGATCCAGAAGTTTTGTGTTGGTTACTGAAATTCAGGTTATTTTACAGTTGCAGTCAAGTTTTTCACTGACATCATGTACTTCTTTTCTCTGTCAGAAACATGGGTGATAAATTGTTAGAGCACAGAATCAACATTAAATTTTCTGTGAACTGGAGAATAATGCTACCGGCACTTACAGAAATTGTTGTGGAAACGAAATAATAAGAAACCCACAGATATCTGTGTGCATTAAGTGATTTTGAGATGAAAGAAATGATATGAAAGTCATCGAAACATACTATCATTTGGCAACATCAACAACTGATCAAAAGTGTACTCATTTTGATTTTGTTTGTGAGACATTTTCATGTTCTGGAAACTGTAAATTTCATCACCAGAATGCAGGGAAAAATCATAACATAAAGAAAGCTATCAGATATTTTGAAAATGTGGCACAGTTCAGATATTTGGAACAACTATAACAAATCAAAACCTGATTCAGGTGGAAATTAAGAGGATATTGAATTCAGGTAATGCTTGCTACAATTCAGTCCAGAACCTTTGTCTTCTCCTCTGCAGTCTAAAAACATAAAAATCAGTATATACAAAACTATAATTTTGCCTGTGGTTCTGTATGGGTGTGAAACTTGATCTCTGACATTAAGGGAGGATCATAGACTGAGGTCATTTCAGAACAGGGTGTTGAGGAGAATATTTGGACCAAAGACAGATGAACTGACAGGAGGTTGGAGAAAACTGCATAATGAGGAACTTCATAACTTGTAGTCTTCTCAACGTATAATTAGAATGATCAAGTCAAGGATTATGAGATGGGCAGGGCATGTAGAACGAATGGGGGAGAAGAGGAATGCATATAAGATATTGGTGTAAAGCCTGAAGGAAAGAGACTGATTAGGAAGACCAAGACATAGGTGGGTGGACAATATTAAAATGGATCTTAGAGAGATAGGATGGGATGGTATGGATTGGGTTGATCTGGTTCTGGATAGGGACCAGTGGAGGGCTCTTGTGAACATGCTAATGAACCTTTGGGTTCCATAAAATGATGGAAAGGTCTTGAGTAGCTGCACAACTGGCAGCTACTTAAGAAGGACTCAGCTGCATGAGTGAGTGAGTGAGTGAGTGTAAAGAACACTATAGAACACAGTTTTTCGAAAACAGGATCTGTTTCTGCCCTCAGGTGAGAATGTGGAAGACACTCCATTGGGTCTGTTTGAAAGTCACTGGATGTTAGCTTTATATAATGGATCCAATAGAGTATGTGTCTCCCATCCTTTACCTGAGGCTGGAAACAGATCCAATTTCCAAAACATTGTGTTCTTTAGTATTCTGTAGAATATTGGAATATGGACAGGGTCCAGAAACCCAGTAATCTCAAGTGTTTTACACCATTATCAGGCCCTTTAGAATCTACCTGATCTACAGCTTACTGAACAACACTGTCAATAGCTCAGAGTATGCATAATTACTGAGTTTTAAAGAATGCAGAAGGAAGAAGTCAAAGCCTAATTTAAAGTGTTATCTCAGCATGTGGCTGGGGAGCCTGATGAGAAACACGAAACACCTCAGTTTGGTAGCCAGTTCCCAGAACACTATTTTAACCTGGGGTTTCCCAAGTTCAAAGCAGAAGTGCTACCCACCTGAGCACACCATTAAAATGACAATGGAATTTAAAACATTGTAAATCTATGTTCCCTGTCATTAACAGCTTTTTTTATCTGTTATTTTATGACACTTTCAATATCTAAACTACACAGTGTCAAATAAATGGTAGGATAACTGATGAATAATGAAGGAAGCAATCATAGCCTAATATAGGTACTAGCCCTGCATTTGCCTAGAAAGCCTGTGGAAACAACGGATAACCCAGCAGGACAGTCAGTGTCGCAACCAAGCATTTGCTGAATGTGAGTCTACAGCATTACCACCACACCAACCCACTCAGTGCATCAATAAAGTTAATTCATATTCTGTACACACAGTTCTAACTGGGACATGCTACAACCCTGAAAATTAATCCATAAAAAACTACAACTTTACCTGCTTTTTGTACAGGTGTTAAACTTGGCCTGTCAATTAAACAAACAAAACCTGAGGGTATTTAGGAAAAGGCTCAGAGAATATTTGGGTCAAAAAAAAATAACAGGAGACTGGAGAAAATTAAATAATGAGAGCTTAATAAATTTTACTCTTCACCTAACAATGCTAGAGTAATGAAACTGAAGGGGGTTAGATGAGTAGGACATGCAGCATGCATGAAGGAACTAAGAAATGTGTTAAAAATGTCTGGAAAACCTCAACAGAAAATACTACCTAGGAAACCTAGGAACATAAGGGAGGGTAATGACCAAACAGATATGAACATGAACTAGCCTGAACTGACTCAAGTTTCTGAGAACACATGTTTTTTACAACCAGGGAACTTCTTGATCACCTGAACACCCGACAACTTTTTTAGGTAATTGACAATGTCTGTAAGCATCTGGTGAAGCTGTGAACTGCAGATACAGGGAAAAAATTATTAATTTTGTTCCTTAGTTTATTTAAGAATTCCATGTCAACTGTGGAGATAAAGAACAGATGATAAGGGAAGTCAGAATATCTAGTGCAGTACTTACTGCATTCTTAGTAAGTTCTTCTAATCTTGCTGAAACATCTTTGTCTTTCTTGGGACGGACTAGCACGTAAATGGTTCCAACATCAGGACATGCTCTGAGCAGCTTCTCGATCAGTGTCATACCAAGGAAACCAGTTGCTCCAGTAACGAAAATGTTTTTCCCTCTAAAGAATTCCTGTATAGGACTGCTATTGTCAATGTTCTCCATTGTGGAGCCAGTGGTCTTACTTGATTATTTGGGCTCACTGAAATATATCAAATATAACTTCTGTTACTGTCTGTAGATTTTGCAATCAATATGTGTGTTCTTATGAAGATGAGGAATGCTATTACTTTAATATATATTTTAGAGGCTATGACCAGTGGACGAATTAATAAGATGTTCTATTACATCTGGATTAATTAATTAATTTAATTAATTTCATCAATCCATTCAGGTACATAACCATTGGATATAGAAACTGTCAGAAGATTACACTGATATATTACATAAGATTGTCTTAACATATAAGAAACTAAATAATGCAAGCTGAAATACAAAGCTATAATTACTAGAATACCCCATCCATACTGTTGCATTATATTAAAATATCTATATATACTAAAATATCTAGTATGTGTGACTGGATTTATTGGCCACTTATACACTCATGACTCGTGATTACACTTTACAGATCACTCACACAGGGACTAGTGTCCTCAGCCTATTGCAGTCTTCACTAGCCATTTCCCAGAAGCGGATTTTAAGACAGGAACTATAACAGTCTCACTGAATTACACACTCCAAATCCCACACATAAAATCTTCTCATCACAGCCAGACTTTCAACTGAACACTCTTGCAACTAACTCTTTTCTTCACAGCCTTCCGTGCAGAACTGAACTTGGTCTAACCTTGTCCCTTGCTTATAACAACTCAGAACGGATCACATATATAACACAATTGTATTGTTGCGTTCGTGTCTGCTGCTGTGGGAACGTGTTTACCGAGCCGATGCCCAGAAACGGCCCTGATATATCTGCTGATCTAGCGGTCGTTGCGTAGCAACAGCCACATACACACACACAGACGGCCGCCGTGCAAGGGTCATTTAATGTCCACCCCTTTAGTCAAAGATACTGCTGCTATGATACATAGATTGCCACTTCTACACTCCAGCTGCGTTCAAATTTACATGCAATGGTCTGTGTCGAGTTAACCACTGAACTTTAAAATTTAGGCTGACAACTCTTCATTTTAAAATAAATGGTAACTAAATATTATAAGCAGACAAAGCACCCACAGTATCCCCGGGGGCTGAACCTGGTTACCATCTTTAGATTACATCTTCAGTATTAGTAATGTGTGTAATATAATGTATCTCAAAGTGCTGTCTTTAAATTAACAGGGGAATTCACATTCTGTTAACGCATTTCCATTTCATAAAATCTAGAACTAGTAAGATATAACGCTTACAAATAAATGTCTAGACTCAGAAGAATCCCACAGTTTGTGAGCGATGAAAGAGAACCAAGGATTTGATTCCCTGCCCAACGAGAAGAAACTGTCATCAATGAAACCTACCACAAAGTTGACAACTGCAGAAAACAGGCTTGATTGTTTTTGTTTATGCTTGGGAAGCATTCAGTCAAAAATATGAGGAAAATGTTTCGCAAGAAAACATTCTTAGAATGTGAAAGTGTCTTGTTTGTGTGTCTGTTCCTCATAATCACAGCGGAAATTTCAATTATCTTCAGCATACCATATGAAATTCACATTTCAAATCACAAAACGATATTGTCAGTTTGAATAAAAAAGTAAACTCCTACATACTGGGAGGTTCTTACCTTTGTTGACCGGTTCACGGTTCTGCGCTTCACAGCGACCGGTGCGCCGCAGGCTGCGAGGCGCTTTCGAATTTTGCGGATGATTTTTGCTAGCAGGGTTTATTTTTGCAGTTGGTTCCTACTGTCTGCCGCCGAAGGTGAGATCGACCCGCTATTGTCGTTTTTTTTTCTGATGAAGCGTGGTTTCATTTACAGGGATATATAATAAATACGCAAATAATCGCTACTGGAGTTCACAGAATCCACATCTAATCCACTAAGTCAGGCTGCACCATAGCTTAAGCGGTTAGTCGCTGGCTTCCCACCGCGGCGACCCGGGTTCGATCCCGGGTCTGCTCAAGTGGGATTTGTGGTGGACAAAGTGGCGGTGGAGCAGGTTTTCTCCGAGTACTTTGGTTTCCCCTGCCAATCTTCATCCCACCAATTGCTCCACAATCACCCTCACCTGTCATCTGGGGCTAGTACAATAGGCAAGAAGTGGCCGCAGTACAAGGGACTTAGTCCCACCCCACTAGCAATAAAAAAACACTAAGTCCCGTTCAATCCAGTGAAAGTTGGTGTCTGGTGTGCTCTAAATATAAGGATTGTTGGTTCTGTGAGTTTAAAGAAACAATTAATTGCGAAAAATATATGCGTGTAGAGTAACAGCATTTTCAGAACCTCCTGTGATCTGTGAATTGTAGCTATTTCATTCCGTGCGTCATCGGCCAACAGGCATTTCTGTATAACCTGACTGTCGAGTAACTGTCGATTCAAGGAAAGAAAAGTTTTCCGTTGTACTTATCACTGATATATTTTGGGGCTAAGTCATATCAGCACGACCTCGTAAGCCGTTATCAGAAACATTCTAACATATCGGAACTTACAAAACAAGTAAACATGAGTGAAAATAATAGCAGAGGTGTTTACGTATGTAAATTGATTTCGAAAGCAAATTAATACCGCAGAACCCTGGGTATGAATAATTCAAAGGGACTCGCTGTGAAAACAACTACTTAAAAACTTACGAAAGTGGTATTTTGGACTAATGGAAATTTGTACTATTATAAGACCATTACGAAACTTGACGCGAGGAATATATGTAGAAATTCCTTTATCAAGCCTGACTAACTAATAAAGAATAAATTAACTTCCTGGTAGAACAATAACATTCCCTGAGCAGACAGTGGGAAGTTACGAAGTTATTAAAGAAATTATTGCCACGGAATGAAAGAGTCCATTACCGTCTCGTTCTATAACAAATAAAATATAAAATCCATGGAAACTGAGACTGCTAGCACATCCCAACTATAGACAGAGAACATGTCTGATCGAGAAAGAAGGAAATTTCACTGTACATACAAATTACATAAAATATAAGCAAGCGGGGTGGCGTAGTGGTAACGCTCTAGACTCGCATTCGATAAGTGCTCGGTTCGAATCTCGGCCGGGCACCGCCTATCCTCACTGAGGATTTTCGAGGTTTCCTTCAGTTCCTACAGGAAATTTCAAGATAGTACGTCCATTGGTCACGACCGCGTCCTTCCAAATCTTTTGCAATTCATCAGTGATCCTATCATTATGCGACTGTCTACATACTGACAGCGTCATAAAATAATCCACACACCCAACTTACTTACTTATTCATGGAGCTGAGCCCTTCTGGAGGAGCCGCCAAACTTGCAGCAACTCTAGAATTTCCCAGCATTTTATGGAACCCGAAGGTTCATCACCGTGTTCATAAGAGCCCTCCACTGGTCCCTATACTGAGCCAGATCTATCCAGTCCATACCATCCCATCCTATCTCTCTAAGATCCATTATAATATTGTCCACCCTCCTACTCCTTGGTCTTCCCTGTGGTCTCTTTCCTTCCGGCATTCCCACCAATAAATCCACACACACATATGACACAAAATGTAGAATTCATTAAGCGCTGCATCCTTCGTTTTTAGATTTGGCGAGTATAACGAAATGCAAGGGAAGATATTTTCCTACTCTAAGCAGTAGTATATACGACAGCCGGGGTGGCATAGTCGGTATAGCGACTGGCTACGAGCTGGATGACTGCGGAGTCGGAGTTCGAGTCCCGGTAGGGGGCAAGAATTTTCTGTTCTGGGGTCCACCCAACCTCCTATACAATGGGTACCGGGGGCTCTTTCCTCGGGGGTAAAGCGGCCGGTGCGTGAAGCTGACCACTCACCTCCAGCTAGTGCCGAGGTCAGGAAAGTGTGGATCTATTCATCTACTTCCCATATGTCTTCATGGCGTAGTGCTTAATTTGTTGAGCATAGGGACAACTTTTACAATGCACTGGGGTCCACTCAGCCTCTAACAGAAACGAGTACCAGGAATCTTCTTGGGGGTAAAGGGCGGCCGGCGCGTAAGGCTGAAAACTTTACCGTCATTTGTGAGTCGATTGTCTAGAAAATGTGGAAGCCTCGACATCTCACAACCCTATGGGCCTTCACTGCCTGTTGCAGGGATAGCTTTACCTTTTTATACCTTAAAACGTTCAATATTCTATATGTCCCCTATGCTAATTTTCGTATGTTAAATGGCAACCTATAAATCCTATGCACCTTTTTTCACAAACGTTCACCTGTTAAATGGTTTGGGTAATGGCATGTCAGCACACACGGACGTAACATCCGTACTGTGTACTCCACTTTATTCACTCCCTGTGGGGTATACTCGTAAGCAAACATGTCAATAGGTGCGAGGCCTCAAGTGGTGGATTTTTTTAATGTCTGATTTAACTGCCACTGATGGCTTGCCTTGTGTTAGGTTTATACCCGTATATTTTGTCTTGTATTGGAACTGGTATCCGGACATAAGGGCTAGATCAGTCGATCTGACCCAACTGAGTAGGTTTTTTCCTCAAGATGGAGACATAATCCAGTCTCCGAAACGTTTTTAATAAAAACAAAACAGGAATGTGGATAACAGTCCAAAAACTCAATAATTGTATTAATATATCATCGTCACAAACTTTTAGGACTTATACATGTTTTGCTCCCTCGTTGGTGTCTCCACCTTATCGTGGTGAGGGGGTTTGAGTATGCCAAGGACCCTGAGAGCTATACCAGCGGTAGCGTAGCTACTGGCAGGGCCTCCCTTGCTGGACAGGTCAAAGGGTAGGCATCAGACGAAGAGAGACACCAAAAACTGATGCCGGAAGCAGCGTCATCAGTAGCGACTTGAAGCACAGAGCAAATGATGCTCGAGATGGTTCAAGTTCGTA